ACTATTTGTAACACTTGGAATCCTTAGAGAAAAAACAATTCTAAGATAAAGGAGTTTCTGTTGTAATAGCAATTTCTTCTCTGTCTTCAGCCAAGGTAATAATATTATTTGGGTTTAGGTGACATTGAAAAGGAAAATATCCAAAATAGGATAGATTCTACGAGCAGTTGTAGAAACAGAGCAATGTAGATTTTATGATAAGAAGAAAGCTCTTACAATTAATGGAGAACTATCAAAATGCAAGTATTAGGGGGGAAAAAAACCCAGCTACTGTTGCCTTTTAAATACAGATCTCTTCATATTTAAGATCAAATTACAAACTACTGCAAAATATATTTAAAACATGTATAGAAATCATTCTGTAATCAGTGCATAAAAAAAAAATCAGTATTTGGTTATAACGACTGGTTATTTCTAAAATTCCAAGATACCAAAAATTATTGCTCTCAGATTTTTTGGTTATTGTTTTAGTATAGAAGTCACATAAATCATGGCTTTAGTTTTTTGCATATTAGTACTTTGTAGTGGTTTTAAAGCAGTAATTAAAGAATTACTAGAAAACTTACTTATTTTTTGCCGTGAGATATGGATTCGAACAAGAGCAAAACAGGCTTAAAACTTAAAAGGAATAAAGAAAGTTTATTAACGAAACTGCAAGAATAAGAACACCAGAATATACCTCCAGAAAACCCTTTTATCCCCCACTACCCACCATTCCCTTGTTCACATGACAACATAGAGACAAAAAACTTTGGTGTTCAAAACAGTCCCAATTCCTGCTAGAGTCTTTTCATCAGCCTTTGCAGAGAAACAGAAGTCTTCTTCTGCTAATCTATGGAGTTTCTCACAAGAAAACTATTTCTGTTATAACTTTCTATTTTTCTGATGCCAGCTGCCCGGAAATCTGTCATCAGATTTTCTCCTCCCATTTCACATCACTCTGAGGTGTGTATGGGCCATGAGTCTAAGGATGTCATTTTTAAGGATGAGTTATTCAAAGGCAAAAGTTCTCTTCATCTGTCTCTAAGCTTTCCTGGAAACAGAAGTTTTCTCTTTGCCTCTACAAACCTACAAATCTTCAACTATTACTTCTCTTCACTGTTCCAGCACCTCACTGTATCACAATTACTCCACCTTTTGCTCAAAATCCACACCTTGAACACTCCATTCCTCCCAACATACTCTGTCATGAATTAAAGGAGTTTTTTCAGAACACTATTGTCAATCTCCATAGCTTTAACAGAAAAATATTTCAGCTTATAAAGCATCTCCTTATTCTCTCTTCCCCATCTAAAACTTAACTGTTGATTCTCTCTCTCTGTCTCTCTCTGTCTCTCTGGGAAAAAGGAGTAATCTGTACGTTTTATCCAGGTAGTAACAGAATTAAAGTCTTGCTCAAGCTGCAGATGTTCACGGTGTCAGGTTTCAGTTCAGCGGCAGAAACTACAAACCAAGCCAGGCCGGCCGGCTCCGTTTCTCTCCCCGCCCCTCCCTGCGGCCTTGTCCGGCCTGGAGGAGGGGGGGAGGAGGCCGAGACAGAGCCTTGTTACCTTTTCAGAAGCTGGAAGCCAAAAAAAGCAAGAGAACTCTGCCTTTACATCTTAAGGTGGTGTTCACAGGTTGATCTCACTTTTCAATGGTCAAAACTGCTGTCAATTCTTAGAAATGACTGATAATTGGTCAGGAGAAAAGACTCCCATCAGCCTCCAGCAGCTTCAACTTCCTTATCTCCCAAAGGTGTCTTAAAGGTAAAGTCGCCCTATGACATACTTTTATAAGTTTTATAGATAAAATACAAAGTTTTAAAGCTCATACATCTATAAATATCAACACACAAATCAAAACTTCAGCCTTTATTCTGTTTTCAGTGTATACTGAGACACTAAGCTTTTTAGTGCACGAGAGTAGCTCAGGAACATTCTCAGCCTTGAGAGTTCTTGCCTGTTGTGCATCCAAACCATCAACTTGCACTCTGATTGCACATTTGGTAGACAGATGGGAATTAATAGTAACCTTACTTGATAGAGTGCATAGGTTAAACAGAATTGTTATTTGAATTTTGCCTTGCTCTGGTTAGAGAGCTGTGCTGGTATTCTGTTCTGAGGAGGAGTTGCCCATGATTTACCTAAATAAAAGCACAAATTCTGAAGTACAGATGGACTCAGCTGTGAAAATCAAATAAAAATATTCAGTCTCCAATGATGAAATGTGCATTGCTACTCACTATTTAGATGAGTAATTCAGTGTGCAATAAAGACCAGTAATGTGATGAGTAATTTCCAGATCCTCTACTTGTTGCTTTAGATGGTAGCATGTTATATTTGCAGCTATTTTCTAGCAGCCTGTATTGATGTATTGAATAGTTAGTAGATATGGTGTCCTGGTTTAGGGCAAATTTTGAGAGGAAACCTGTGATTGGGGACCCTCTAGAAAATCAAATTCAAGTGGCCCCTCCCCCAACTGGTTCAGGGAAAGATTTCCTTGAAGGAAAGTAGAAAAACTTTCTTTAACTTTTTAAAGATTTTTGTTTAAACTTTTTTTTTTAACTGTTTACTTAACAAGGAAAGTATTCACAAGTATAAAAATTTAAAAATCTTAAACAATAAAACTTCTTGCTGTTCTGAAGAGATGACAAATTCAGAAAGTCCTTGCTGTGGGGTTTGCTCACTCTCTTATCAATCTCACCTCCACTGGAATGACTTGTCCTGGGCCCCGGTGCGCTACAGGTGTGAGCCCCTGGTGTTTGTCTGGGTTTTCAGTCCAGTTCAGGGCTGACCAGTTCCAAGAAAAAGAAAAGCCACAGTCTGGGGAACTTCTCTGCCTCCACTAGCTTAAAAGCAAAGGAGAGCTCTGTCCCACTGTCTGTCCGTGCTGCAGACCGCGTAGTCCAGGGGAAGGATGCAGGGGAGCAAGTGCAGTTTCTGAAAACAAGCTGTGCTTCTTTTTTCCCACCTTCCTTCTTGGAACCCGTCTTAAAGGTACAAAACTTAATACCCAACATGAACAGAACAGGTAACTGGGGATACAAGCATCATAAAGTCACTCCAGGTCATGTGGCCATGAAAAATTTCAGTCCTTAGTAGAAAGGACATGCTGACATGCATTATAAATGCCCAGCCCTGTGTTTTCTGTCTCTCCCATTACCCTTAGCTCTGTTCCTTCCTATCACACCAGATGTGTTTGGCTTTCTTAAAAGCTGTTTCCTGTTTTATAAGAACTCAAATCCTTCCTGTTCCTGCACTCAGTATGAATTTCTGCTGGTTTTGAGCTCTTTGTGAAGACTAGGGAATTTTAAAGGTTGTTTCTCTTTGGAGGCATGAATTAGTTTTGGGTTTGAACAGTTAATAATAAAATTCAGAAAGAGTCATATAATCTGTGTATTTTGCATGCATAACAAATGAAAAAAAAGTAGGAAATTTGTTCAGAAATACTTAAGGAAAAAAAAAAGTTGTATGGACAAGGGAGCAGTTAAGACTAAGTCACAGAACCACAGAATCACAGAGTGGGTCAGGTTGGAAGGGACCACAATGGCCATCTGGTCCAACCTCCCAGCTCAAGCAGGGTCATCCTAGAGCACATGGCACAGGATTGTGTCCAGATGGTTCTTCAATATCTCCAGTAACAGAGACTCCACAACCTCTCCGGGCAATCTGCTCAGAGTGCTTCCAAGCAATCCAGTGGCTGGTCACCTGCACTGGAAAGAAGTTCTTCCTCTTGCTCAGGAAGAACTTCCTGCACATCTGTTTCTGCCCATTGCCTCTTTTCCTATTGCTTGGGCCTCTGAGGAGAACCTGACTCCATGCTTTTGACAGCCTCCCTTCAGAGACTTACACACTTGAATGAGGGCCCCACTCAGTTGTCTCTTCTTGAGGCTGAACCAGCCCATCCCTCTGCAGGTATGGCATAGAATGTTATCTTCTGTCCTGGGAAAGGGAATGAGAGTGGGGGAGAATATGAGACAACTGTGGGTGAATGATGATACCTATTCATTTCAGTGTAGCTTTACATACCATAAAGTATAAGGCTAACAGGAATAAGGAGTTAGCCAGAACTTACAAATCTATCATTCTAGAGCTTTAGGTAGTACTGAGTTCTTCAGTGGAGCCCCAAAATATTTTGAGACCAAAACCTGGAATTTTCCAGTTTATAATCTGCCATATTTGCAATTTCTAGTCAGATGATTATATAACATATTAGAACAAAATATCTATCTAGACAGTCCCTGCCTATTCAGGGATCACCATGCTTCTAGGCCTAATTTCAGTCTGTACAGCTTGTGTCTGGGTTACTGCAAATTCTGCAAAATCCTCTCTTGATTTGTTTTTCCTGTCCCCACAGCGGCCTGCCTATGTCTTTGCATGAACTGCAGTCTGGCTGCCTGTGAAATGACTGCTTGCTGTAATTGGCAATGTGGAAACTTCTCTGGTGCATATTCATTAACCCCAGGAATATCCCTGCCCTCTTTTCACATCTATCTTGTCTGGTCGCTCTTCTTAAAAGAACAAAGCACATGATAAGAAGCCAACACATAGAAGAGATACCATTCATCAGGCTGCTGCTGCACATACCAAGTCTGTAATAGTTAAGGGTTAGAATTACAAAGAAACACATAAGTGATGGGGAGTAGGGATTCATTGGAAACAAGTAAACATAAACCAGTCAGATATTAATGTCAGGCCAAATCCTGCAGCATCATTGGTGAAAGGCTTGACTGAATGTAGCTGGATAGCTAGGATCTAGCTCTTGTGTAATATTATGGTTTGTTTTCTGTTTTGCAGTTTGAGTTATATGGATAGTAAGGTCTGAAAAATTGTTTGATTTTTAAAAACAGTTTTCAGAGGATTAAATCAGTTGCTGCTGTATTAGCACAGAAGATTAATCTCAGAATCATTGGAAATTTTGCCTGTGTAAGGCCATGAAATTAATAATGCTTTAATGCAAACACAGAACTGTAGAAAAGGTCAATTTTTTATTTTTTTTTTTTTTCAGGTAACAGCAAGTCCAGTATAACTAGCAAAATAATTCTGCCAGACAGATAGGATTGTCTGAAACCCATCCTCTTGCCAATGGAACAGAAATATGATGATGATGCTCTTCATAATATAATTAGTGAGAAGCATTCTGTAAATTGCTGAAGAAATCTTCTGTCACAGTAGTGTATATTCCACCTCATAAAGCAGGTGGCATTTGGGCTATTTTCTGTGAGGGATGAATGTGAGCAGACAGACTGATATAACTAGGGCTAATATGCACAATGATGATGATTTAGCATGTTGTGTTTTTGCTGTAATTACTTGGTAGTAGTACTGTGTTGTATCAGACCACTGCTACCTTTTTATTAGTTTGAGAAACTTCTCTTTTATTTTATTTTTCAATTGAGGCTAAAATAAAATTTTCATAGATGTGTAGTAATGTTGCTTTACACAGTTTGGATCCCAAAACAATTGAAGAAAATTGGGGTTTGTAATTTACAGTTTACTCTTTGGCATTCTATTGTGTTTATTTAACCATGGGGAAAGGTCATAGAGAAGAAATAGACAAGAGAGGATGGCAGCAGTTATAAAGCAACTTATTGCTGTGTCAAAAAATAATAATTGTCATAGGGGTCTGTCTAATCACTGATGCATGCATGTATACTGTTTTTTATTTTCTGTGAGTGCTGAAAAGGCAGCACAGTCCTCTGATACATTTTTATGGGCCTTTCAAAAATACTAGGTTTTCTAGTAAATATATGAAATTACTTTAGAGTTCTACCTTTATTCTTGATGTGATTTTGATAGTTTGTTTGGGGTATTACCCCTCCCTACCCCACCCCCCCAGTTTGATGAGTTATAGTGGAAATGATATGAAAGGAATTGTTTGTTTCCTTATTTCATTATATTGCAATTATTTTAGCAGCATTCAAGTAAAATATATCTGAGTCAGGCTAAGACTAGAAATACAGAATGATGATAGAAAGTAATCTACCATAGAACAATGCTAAACAAATACTTCACTTGTTGCACAAAATAAATTAAATGGATATAAAAGCAATTCTCTTTCATCTATGATTTCACAAACACAGCAATTACAGCCTCATATTTGCCTCATGAAACACATGATGCTTTCCATCATGGATTTTAGCCTGCATTAATCAGGCTACAGTTTTGCCTTCAGTTTTTCCTATTTTTTTCTGTTAGTTGCAATTCTTTTTCTCAAAATATAAATGTATGTTGTTTATTCCCTTTACTGGAAATAATCTGCTGACCTCAAAAAAAGATGGCAAGTATTCATAGCCTTCCCTTTTTGCCACCAAAAGAGACATTTCTTGATCAATTCATGTCTGTGTCTGTGAGTCTGTAAAAAAAAGAAGGAGTGCAAATGTGACAATCTAATATGTTTGCACAAGCCTCTCCCTGTTTTTCGTTGTGTGGTTTGTTTGTTTTTTTCCTGGGGAGAGCTGTGTTTTATGGTTCAATTGTATTTCCTTTGCCACAGGCATCCATTTTGCTCTAAAGGTAAACCTCAGGATTACTTTCTCTGAAGTCTTCAGGAGCCATTGAAATGCTAAACACTCAGAATAACTGGGAGAAGTAGACTTAAGCAAAACATGGTATGAGATGCCTTTATGAACCTGTAGGTAAGATACAGTGTCCTGAGGGCAGGGCTCCTCTCGAGGTAAGGCACCACTGGGACTGTGTTTTTGGCTGTAGTGGTGTCCCTCAAGAGCAGAGTGCAGGGTGGGATCTGATGCATATGGCTTTGTTACCATTAGCAGAAGGGCTGTGGTGCCCTGGGACCTGTGGGGCTGGAGTCTGGCCCTGGTCTGGGAGGTGCTGGCCAGCCCAGCTGCTGGGGGTGGGTGACTCACCTCCCCAGTGTGAGCTGGGTCTGCACAGTACCAGCTGTGCTGAGGAAAAATGCAGATATAAACCCAAACAAGCCCAAGGCTAAGCAGGAAAAAATCACTGACACTAAGTCAGCAGGAAGAAATCCTAACCATGAACCTCTTCTAACAAAGACTTTGAGTGTGACCTCCTCTGCTTCCCCCCAAGGGCTGTTGTTTGAGGAAGATGGAAACTGCTCGCAGGAGAATCCAGAAGGGCATTGCAAAAGTGACCTTAGTACCAACAAAAAGAGGTCAGTGTTAGCAATTGTTTTGTATGGTGTTTTTAAAAAGCATATTATTAATGAGGACTTACTCTGGTAGCTGGACTGTGAATAATAGTGTTACTGGACCAGTCATAACAGTGTTACTGGACCAGTCATAACAACAGTGGTTTTGTTAATTACTAGTGCTTTAAATACACTGATGATGGTTTTCTCACATGTTTTCACTTTTTGTCAGCAACAAGATTCTGAGTGTACCATTATCTAGTCCAGCCATTTTAGGTTTAACTGAGTAATCTGGTTTATATTCTAGTGAAATCTGACCTTTGAGTTTGAAAGTGTTTTCTGTGCTCATACAAAAACAAGTGTCATGGATCTTTTTCAGGCTCCTGAGTTCCACTGCTATAATCATGTAAGGATCCAGTGAAACTTGTGCACTGTTCCACACTGGTGTGTCCCCTCTTGAAGTGTGAAGTCCTTTAGAGGAAGAGAAGAAAATTATCTCCTATTAGATTATTCCAGAGATATTTTACAGTTTAGTACATTTTCATATTCTTCTGTCTCATGAATGTATTGAGGCATCCTGAAAACCTGTGAATATGCCTTTAAGTGTATTTTAAGTTTTCCTTCCTTAGGAAGGGAACTGCTTTCAGTATTCTGAAACTAGGAATGTCAGTTACACTTTCCTCTCCCACAACATACAACACCTTACAGTTTCTATCCTTTTTCGTTTGTTTGTTTGCTTTGTGGATTTGTTTTTTGTTTGGTTTTGTGTTTTTGCGGGGTTATTTTTGGTTTGGTTTTTTTTTTTTTTTTTTTTTTTTTTTTTGAGGGGGGCATTGTGTGTTTTTTTGGTTTTTTGGGGGTTTTTTTGTGGTGGTTTTTTGTTTGGTTTTTGTTTGGTCTGTTTCTTTTTTGTTGTGTTGTTCTGTGGTTTTGTGATGTCACATTTCCAAGCTGTGGAGATCTTTATCTTGTTTCTCTTTGGCTTTGCATTTATGAAATATTAGGGTATATTAACATTTACAGTATTTAAAGCATTTGAAGTTGCTTTCTGTGGAAAATATTTTTGTCTTTCCAGTTTTGTATATATTGGCTTAATCTTGCAAATAGAGCTCAGGAAGAAGTTTTAGATATCACAGGAAGTGCAATTTTATTGCAAATTTATTTTTTTTTAGTTTATTTTTTATCAATTTATCATCATTATTTATACAATATGTTTTTATAAGTGTATAGACAGAGGGAAGCTGCTTACTGTGTTTAAGCAAGGGAAGAAATAGCTCATCAAAAGCTGGTAGGCAACATTTCTTGTGAAGATGATGATTTTTATATTAGACTGTATTAAAGGAGGAAAGGAAAATTACTTTGAAATTTATTTTCTAGAAATGATAAAATCTTTTGGGAAATTGCCTGGATATAACTCTTTTAATTAAAATTGAAGCAAAAATAATGTGTCTATATAATCATATTTCAGTTTATTATTTTTCAGTATTGTCACTTTTTCCTCAAATGACATATTTTTCAGATACTGTTAGGGGAACTTCTTGTGTTTTAAGAACTACTTCCCTGTGTGCATTCCTGAACTCATTAGTCTGAACTTTTTTCAGTCCTGATTGTAGGTGAGTTCATGGTAGTGAAGCCTTTGGGAGAACAGTTTACTGTGAGTAAACAACTCAGTATTTATAATAACTTAACTTAATGTATACGAGCACATCATTCCGTCACAAATCCTTGTCAGAATATTCCTCAGTTCTAACCAAAACAGTCACTAAGCCTAAGTTTGGGAATGAAAACATACTGCAGTTCCTACGACAGCAGCTAAATTAAAAAATAACTCTTACTCCTAAATGTTTGCTTATTGGATGCCTATGAAGGTTTCTTAGTGACTCTCTGAAGGTCACTAGAAACTTCAGACTTGGAGAAACCATGGCATTATAGAAATCCTTCTGTGGAAAGTGAACTGAAAGGCTGTCTTTATACAAGGATACTTGAAAAAAACCTGGAAGAGGAATCTTCTGATCTAGGTTGTCTCTTAAGTAAAAGTGACTTTTCAGTGGTACTGAAAATGTGAGGAGAGACAACAGAATTGTGAATTTTCATTGCATTTTGTCTGCATAAGAAGGACCTTACAGGCATATCTACTTTACATGAATCTCTCCATTCATGTTGCCATTTATTTTCATGACATAATTGTTCACATTCCACATTTTTAAGGGATTTAAATTTGTCTACAATGAAACTATTCCACATGGAACAGGCAATAGCTATTTGTGAACTTTAAGCCTTAGCTTTTTCTGACCCGTAATGTCAAATTCATTTTTTCTTGTGACTGGCTTAATGGCTTAATGACCTCGAATTTCAAGAGGAAATGGGAACCATTCAGATCCTGTATAGATAAATGGTCTTCTGCTGACCTCTAATGGAGAAGATAAATCTGAAACTAACTTGTAGCCAATTGCATGTTCATAGCTCAACAGAGCAAGAAGACATGGTAATAACACTGTGATAATACTGTCATCCAGTTAAAAGCAATTATGCTGTATGATAGAATGTGAAGAAAATTATGTTAGAAAATAGTTGTCCAAGAATTTACTTGTTTTGCAAACTTAAATCTAACTTAGATTGAAAAATCTGTTCCTCCTTTTAAAACTTAGGAATTTCAGACAGAAACAGAGGATTTATGAGCTTGTGTACCGGGGTGTTGTACTAGAAAATGTTTCACTTTGTGAGGCTGTTACTAGTGTGGAGTTAAAGACAAAACAAGGTAAGAGTTAGGCTGACAGATTAAGCAAGAGATTCTTCATATGGGGTCTTCAACATCTTTGTCATTAATTCACAGGTGTAAAACATGGTGGACGAGATAAAGAACATGCATGGAGTACCAATTTTTACTTTTAAATCGTTTCTTCAAGATCAGAAAGGAATATAGTGTTTTAGAGGATAATCCTGTGGCAAGTCAGCTCCATGTGTAGGTATTCTAGAAACACAGAATAGCTGAGGCACCAGAAGGCCTCTCTGCAGATTATCTAGTTGAGGGAGTTTAATCTTGCTGGCAGCTAAGCCCACATTCCTTTTCTCATTCATTCACCCCCAGCAGGATGCAAGAAATAACTGAAAGGGCAAAAAGGAGAAATTTTATATATTGAGATGAAGATAGTTTAACAGGTGAAGAAACAAAAGTAAAAGTAAAAATTATACAATCAATCAATATCTTCCATCAGCATACTGATGCCTAGTCCGTCTCTGAGCAATGGCTACCTTGAAAAAGTACCCCAACCCCCATAGTTTTATTTCTGAATGAGATGTTATATTGCATGGAATAGCCCTTTGGTCTGTTCAAGTCTGCTGTCCTGATGTGTTCCCTTCTAACCTTTTGTTCACCCTCAGGCTACCTGCTGCAGGGAGTGGGGGGGAGGAGAGAATAGAGCGAGAAACAGAAAAAGCCTCATTGCTGTGCAAGCAGTGCTCAGCAACTGCTAAAATACTCATGTGTTATCTATCAACACTGTTGACTACAGATCTAAACCTAGCACTGTAGAGACTGCTATTAAGAAATATAATTCTGTCCCAGTCAGTACACTAGCAAGGGAGCCCAGATCTAGACATAGCGCTGCAAATGTGTCTCACCAGGGCTAAGCAGAGGAGAGGAATCACCTCCATTAACCTGCTCCTGCAGTAGTCCAGGATGCTTTTGGCTGATTTTGCTGCATGGACACATTGCTGGACCGTGATAAGCCTTTTTCTCAGGACCTCAGGTCCTTTTTTGTGAAACTGCTAGTTGGTATATCAGCCTTCCTTTTTAACTGGGTACAGCTTACCTGCTTTATGCCAGCTGGTTTTGGACTAATAACCTGATATAACTCCATCAGCCTCAACTTCTTGTTAAAATCCCAGCAACTTTTTAATTTCTTGGACAGTTCCAGCAACATTTTTAGTCCTTTAACTGCTCCAAGAAGCAGACAGCATCTTGCCAAACAGCACGTGTACTGGTTGACTTCACACATAGCTCTGAGCTAACCAGAGTGTGAGCAGCAACTGTCCAGTGAAAAGAAACCCGGCTTTGGAGGAGCTTCTGTGGAGACAGCCGTGTATCACACCGCAGAGGAAAGGCGGGCCAATCTGACTCAGAGGGAGCTGGCAAGGACAGGAAGATTTTCTGCTTTGAGATACAGAGCAGGAGTCCATTTGAAACCATACTGCATTAGTTACTCTGCTCACAGAACAATTTGCTAAGCTGGTAGCATATATAAACTTTTATTTAACTGAAACTCGATGTTCTGCTTTCACTGTAAAGAGTGTCAATGCTTCATTGACTCCAGAAGATGGTGCTCTCTGCATTTATTTTAGAATTTATTATCCCAGAAACAACTTTTATCCAATTCAGCCTCTGTTGGTTTGTAAATTATTGAGGATACCTTTGTAACAACATCTGCTAATGCAGCCCTGCTCCTGAAGCTTTCACATTTACAAATAATATGCATAAAATTTTCCACATGGGAGGTTAGAAAATGCACAAATATTCAAGTAATCTTACTTTAATCTGATGTGCTAAACCAATCTCAGAACATACATATTATATTTTAAAAAGACAAATAACACTTGATTCAATCAGTAACTTCAAAGCTGACTTTTTAACAAAAATATGTCTAAATTCCACTGTTGTGATGATTCTTTATGGAAGATACAGGGTCTTTGCTATAAATATTTCATATGGTTATAGAACAGTGTACAAAATACGCATATATCTTCTGATGTATTATATGAACTGTAATATTAAAATAGGTATGAGAAATTATGCTTATCAGTTCTGAAGTACATCCTTAAATTTGTTTCAAACTTCATATTTCTGAGCTGTTTCTGTATTTGTAATTGATTTTCTACTTCTGTACAACTAAAAGCAGTAGCATTTTCTAGCTTTTAGCATTCTTTTTATTCTGTTTCCAGGGAAGACACTAATACAGCCTTGAAAAAACTCTAAGTTATGTATACATTTTACATGCATATTAGAGTCTGTGAAATACTGCAGGTAATTCACTTTGTGCAGAGTGTCAGAACAGATGACAAACTCAATCTGAAAAATGCATTGGATTGCTTTCTGCCTGTAGTCAGAACTATTTCTGATCTGCCTCTCAGGTACAGGCATCACAGGTTTACTATTTTGTACTAATTTGGTTTCCTGGGGTAACCCAAAAAGTCATTGTACTCTATATACATCTGTGCCCCAAAATTGCTACTGTGTCTTTAAAGAACTGCAGTGCAGCAGGAAAAAGAATGGTGAGGTCCAGGATGGTATCACGGCCTTTTTAAGTCTGCTCTGGCAGGCAGCTTGAGCTCTTTTGCTGCATGAATTTTGCTTCACTTGTTTTTCATCTTTGCCTTAGGCAGAGCTGTCTCTGGCCACTTGGTTTGGGTCTTGGTCTCTTGCTATAGAGTCGAAGCAGTGCAGGCAGAAGCTTTTCCTTTTTGGGTTTTCTTTTGTTGTTGTTTTTTTGATCTCCAAGAGACTGCCTTGGGGCAAACCCAGCAGTTTTGTATCTGGTGGATATTTGCTGTTATTTCTTGACTGTTGCTTTTTCACTTGTTAGTAAACTGGTAGTTTTTCACTTACATCTGCTTGTGTTCATTCTTTATTGGCAGAAAGGAATTGGTTGAACCTATGAAGAGAGGCAATTTTTTCCAAAGTGTTCTCTTTTAAATTGTCTCAAACCAGGGCATTTGGACATTTTGATACATTTAGTGCTGTGTTTTCATATCTGGGGTTTCTGTGAGAAAGCAGGAAGGTGTAGGAGTAGGATTCAGAAAATTTGAGTAAGGAATGCAGGAAGTGGAAAAAGATATGTGTATATTATAGACCAGATTTAGAGAGTAGATGAAATTGGAAGGTATTTTCCTAAATCATCTAGTCAGACCCACTATTCAGAGCAAGGTTGACTTTGATGCTGGATATGGCTTTTTGCTTAAGTCAGGTGGCTCAGGTTTCTTCAGATCTCCCTGAGTAACCTGTTCTGGTGTTTGACAGACATTGTCAATTACTTTTTTGAACATCCAGCTGGGATATCAGTCATTACAGTTTTACCCACTGTCCTTCTTTTGCCAAGGACAAAATTGTGTATTGCCAAGAAAATTCTAATTCCAACTTCTCTGCAGCCATACACAAGTTGAAGACAGCAGTAAGATCCTCTTTTAGCCTTTCTTTCTTTGAGATGAACAAAACCTGAAGATCTCCTAATCAATACTTTTGTGTCCCATATTGCAGTCCCAAATCATCTTGGTGACTGCTATCTATCAGGAATGATTGAGGTGTGAACCTCCAGGACTCCCCTGTGATATTCCACATTTCTCATATTGCTCTGTTGCTATTCTTCTGAAATACACAGCTTACACTTAATTTTAGTATATCTGTGTACAATACTGCTCTATCCCATACATATAAGTTCTCTCCACTGTATAGACCACAGCACTGTTTTCTTGAGTTCTTGAGTTCTTTAATAAAATAAAAATCCAAATGTATATTTCTTGTTAGAATTCTCTTTAGGACTTGAGTTGCATGAAATTAAAATATGCTTTATCAATACCAAGCAACACTTTTAGTTACTGCTTTAAAATTCAAAAAGACAGCAGGCACTTTAAAAAAAAAAAAAAAAGAGACAAGAAAGAAAAGTCTCCTTAGTTATATAAAAGCGGAGTTTTTAATTTACTTTGCATATATCTGTGTTTAGAGATCTATAAAGAATCAGCTATGTCAACTTGTTTAGTTAGAGTATTTCTAAATAACTCTGGGTAGCCCACGCTAACAGCTATAATCTGAAATACTTCTATTCTTGATTCACAGGATATAAATGAGTAATGAAACATTTAGGTGTTGTTTTGACAGTTAGGATGTACTTATCACTGATGAATAATGGTAGGAATGGCTTCCATAATGGCTCTGTACATAGAAGAAATTATTTCCCCCCCCATTTTTTCAAGACCATTTCATATTGTGACCAGAATTCAGAAATTCAGAATATAGAAATTATAAAAAATGTTTGCACCAGAAATTGCTATGCAATTTCCAGTGGCTCAGGGTAACCTCTGAGTTGAGAAACAACAGTATACTTAAGAGATTTTTTTGTCCAAATCACTTCATGCATATTGAGTCTCAGACTCCAATGGAAGCTCTGAATTCACTGCTTCTTAACTCTCAGTATGGTTATATTTTTTTAAAGATATTTCAAGGTTTTCACTGTTTTTCCTTATTTTTCTTACTCCTCAACTTTTCCCAGTTTTTTTTGTGTTTCCCAAAGTTCATGTGTACAACATCAGACTCATGGTCAAGGTTAACCTGACCTGTCATCAGGTAAAATTTGGATTGACATGACATAGTGTATATAATAAAAGGCCATATAGGAAAATCTTCATAAAAGAATATCACCATGTATAACAAGAGTTTGAAGAATTAGAAATGGAGTGATCAGGTTGTAAATTATGCCTGGTATTTGAGAAGCTGGAGACAAACAATGCTGAAAATTGTAGTTAATTGTAAAAATCTAGAAGAAGATTTAGGATGGCTTAAATGAACTGTGTAATTAATTTTGAACCACTTTACCTTTAGACCTCTCTCAAAACTTCTAATTCTCATCAAGCTGTGGTAGCATAGCCATTATTACTTTAAGAAGTCACCTTCTTTGTGAAAAGAATGAATTCCACAAGAAGTACAAAGTGTGCCATTTCATGGGCCAGCAACTTAAAGTGACTCAAAAATTTGTGTTATATAATAAGGACCAAGCATCTTTTTTTGGTGCACAAAGCTGATTTGCTTTGAAAAATTAACAACTTTCTCTAATCCATTTTAGAAACATTTTATTAAGCTTCTGTGTGGAAGAATTTTGCAAATCTTAGTCTTATCAGTAGTATTTCAGATTCAAAAGGAGAAGTATCAGAACATCCCTTCTGTTTATTTTGACAATAACAAGGAATATTTATTTTATACAGGACAGAGTTTTCCCAGTTTGAAGGAGAAAATTGTATATGTGACTCTTAACTATTCTAACAAAAAATAAGTCTTGAAAACTGAAAGAAATGGAAGTATTATAAATGTAGAAACTGGCATAATCTATCTGTTGGCATAATCTATTTAGTCTCTCTTTTCATTCAGTGGAAGGAAACCTGATAATTCAGTATAAATTGAAAAAGCCCTATAGTTAAGAAAAAGTTTTTGTAACAGATTTTGGGTAGTGAAAAAAAATCACTGAAATGAGTATATTAATAATCATAACAATGTTTCACTTATCTGAATAATTAAAATGAATAGTCTTGATTTTGATAGCAAAAACAAAACCAACACCACGTTGCATTAAATAGATCAAAGAGAATTCAAGAGTGTCATTTGGTCTCCCACAGTAACATAAATACCTCAGTTCTTTCAATATATGTCGGTTTTAACTCTTATAAAACTGAGATACATGTTTATAAAATATTATTGTCTGAAACCTACAATTAGGAACTAATGAGTTCTGTCTTTAGAAACTTCAATACTGTGAAAGATTGTTCAAAAATATTTCTTCAGTTTGCTTAGAGAAATAAATACTTCAGAAACCATGTCTGTGGTTAGCAAATTTGCCCATGAAAACCTATTTTGTAACATAAAATAACAGTGAAAATAACAATGAGATAAGATTAGGTATTGTTTAAATGACCTTTTTAATGCCTTTTTTTATTCAAATTACCCATAGACAGAATAACAGGCCAAATGAATCACAGAGACTATTGCATATATCTTTTTTTATTTTATTTAACTCCTCAGTGAAGCGTAGACAAGTATTTTGAAAAAGCATTTTAAATTATTTAAATGCTGCATTTAAATCTGATTAAAAGGTTTTTTAATAGCTACCATGTACTGTGAAAGAGTACCACAGAAATTTATTATAATGATTTCATGAACAAATATTGACATTTAATTTTCTTTCTCTTATTCCTCCAGTCTGCTAGTTTTGGACACCCAATATTATTAAGTTTTCTCATTCTTACTTCAGATATTAGTCTGGAAGTCTGAGCATTATGCAAATAGAGCAAGGTAATAGCTCCCAAAATGGCATGTTTACAATGAGTTGTCAGACCAATACTTAACCATTAAGGTTATATATCTTTTTCCCCTAGAAAAAAACCATCTTGCATGTGATAAGGTAGATTTTTGCTGAACTTTAGTATCTAGGGAAATAAGTCCTTCTTCAAACTGGAAAATGGGAAACTAATTCTCTCTGAAAGATGTCTTTGTGGTGCGTGTGTGTGTTTTTTTCCTGGTTCTATGAAAACATTCTCATTTTATCTTTATATAAATCTGTAGACACTGAAAAGAGAATGTAAAACTCTCCACTATCATATCCTATATCCTAGATGAATTTTGAAAATTAGTTCCTTTTTACATGAAGCAGTCTGAAAACCTTTTTTGAAACTAAAGCGCACCATTAACTAAGGGAGGAGATGTTAGATTTCAGCAGATGAATATTTGACCAACACTGCTCTGAGCTTTAAAGCTTCTCTAAGGGAGTGGGATTCTCATCTGACATTCTGGCAACTTTCCCATTTCTTGTCAGGGAATCCTGTTTTTTAAACTTCCATCATTAAAATGGAGATAATTAAAGATGAAAAACTTTGGAATAAACTTTAACAGAGCCAATTGTTTGTCTTCTGAACTTTACAGAAAATTCTTGAAATGTGGTTGTTCATACAACTTGTTCTATAACACTGTATTTTATGTATGGCAATAGGATTTAATTCTATATCTGGATTTATTTTGAGTTTGAGGAATTAATTTCCAACTCTGATCCTCTTTTTTAAAAAAACCCTAGCCATCTATTTCACATCATTGCTAATTAATGATTGTTATTTGCTCTTATCTAAGCATAGTTGCATCTTTTTTTAAACAAATTGTGCTCTATTTTGATCCTTTTTTCCAAATTTAGGAATTTCCATCTGCAAACATAAATATTTTCTGCTCCTTTCTCCTTTTCATTAGTACATTGAATACCATAGCTTAAAAGACCTATGCTGACAGAAGCTTGCCTGATTCAACCATACAAGTTAAGAAAGATTTTTATCAGAGTTTTGAGTGTTGCCATACTTAATTTTGTTCCCACAATATGAGTATTTCATTTTAAATGTACCACCCCATTATCCTCAAGAGATTCTCATAAGATAGGATAGAAATCTTTCCTATATTTGAAATACACTGCACCTATTTCTTCCCAAACCACAAAGATTTATTCTATAGTAGTTTTACAGTAATTACTTTTGTTAAGCTGCCCGGTTTATAGTGCCTTGTGTCCTTTTCTCCTTCTTCTGTAAATATTTGTCTTCTTCTAGGCTTACTCCTTGTTGGTTCTAAAGCTTAACTGATAACAGCTTTGAGAGAGTCTCACAGGTTTACAAAGTAATTTGTGGCAATTTTCATGGTTTCCAGCTGATCAGAGAATATTTACTTTATGTAAACAGTCTATACACCCTTCCTTTAGTTCTGTTTTATGTTCTTTCTCCTTTATTCCTTTCATTTATGTCAATCATCTGTTCTGAATGTCTGTGATTTAGATTCCAGCACAGATAAGAGACTGATGTAATAGAGGACACTTCTAAATATATTTCCTTTAACCAATGGATGAAGCTCATTATTCCAGAGACAAGCTATTCATCACAGTTTCCCAAAACAAAATATTTTATTTTACAAGATTTTTAAGTAAAAGCCATTCTTTGCAAAGCTTTTGGTCATGCCCTTCTGTTCCAGCCTTTGCACAGATCTGTCCAATCTTGTACTGTCCCATTAGGAGCCATAGTCCAAATTATCAAGAGTCTGCACCCTTTTCTTTCTCTCTCTGAGACACTTCTTTATGACATACCAAAAAATTATGTCCTCTGAAATTTACATATTTCTAAAGTGGAGATAAACTTGAGTGTATCATTTCCTTTGGACTCTTTACTTCTCTTGCTGAATCTTTGCAGTTAAGAAATTTGAAGGAATTTATAGTAATACCAGAGAATTTGTTTTTGAGCAGTACAAATACTGATGACCAGGTATCTCCTCAGGTAACTCCTTTCAGCTGAGTGTTTATCTCTGCTGTAGATCCATTTTGTGGATCTTTAGAAGGCAAATCCATGCTTCTAAGCTCTTTTGCTTTTGTTTGTTTACTTATTTTCTTTGAAAATAAGTAAACCCCCAAGTTTCCACATGGGGTAAAAAGGAAAGGCTGGTATCACTAATTCACTGAGAACACACCATCCGTCATTTATCCAGGCAATATGAAACTTCATCTGGTCATCAGGGGAAGAAGTCTTTCAGCTCTGCTGATAATGTTAATTTTTAGTCATATAATTAGTCTTTTTCAAAACTAAAATTAAAGGGGAAAAAAAAATATACTAAGTGCTTCACATTTTACTTTCAGATAACCTATAATCAGATTTCTGTTACCATTGGACAATTTACTCTTTCTTTCTTTGGATTTCCTCTTGCTGCTGAGGAGTTTTAAAATGTTTTGTCACCCTATGCATCTTTCAAGGAACATAAAAGGTTAATAATATAACTTTATCTCGTAGGGTTATGTGAAAATATATGTATTTTAAATAAAGAATTCTCAAGGCATAGTACTAACATTATGCAAATATTTAGAAGTTATTTTATGCTTTTTGTATTCTGTGTAATACTTCAAGTAAGACTTAAAGATGGACAGTGAATGTGGAAGATAGAAAAATCTAAACAAGATGAAAGAAGAAAGGAGATTTGAAAAAAACCCAAACTGTCTGTCACATATCAGGTAATAATTGCTATATGAAAATGTGTATGCAATAGGAATAAATTAGCATTTCTGAACTTTTGAGTGCTTGACTTGAAACTTTCCATACAATACTTTTTTATATAATGTGTTTTAAAGGTTAGTGTACTTATATATTGTGGAGTTTTCATTCACATTTGAAGCAATTTTGATTTTGTAAATGGCAGTCTGGCTCCTGATTCCAGCATAACCTTTGCCATTATTACAGTTTTGGATCTCAGTACAAATGAGTTACAAGCCAATTACCTTGAAAAAGAAGGAAACATAATGGAGAATGATATCATATATGAATTTAAGAAGAAGATTTTAGAAAAAAAAGCATTAATATTTTAAACCAGTAAGAGGAGATATACTGGCCAGAACTGATTGATTTCTATACAGGATAAATAGATAGAAGCTTCAATAAAAAATAAAGCTCTTTGACCTAATATGTAATCATGTATTTGGGAAGCAAATTTTGAATCCCAAAACTGCCATTGTCATTGGAAGTCAATTAAATACTGTTAAGATTATTTAAAAATAGATATATTACTTTTTTGAGTAATTTTACTCAAGGAGCCTTCATGTGTCTCTTATGCTATATCAACCTCTTTTACTTAGGAAGGTATGTTTTCTCATGGATTTTTACCTTAGTGAAAGACAGGTGAAAAAGATGTTAAGAATGCCTGGTCCCTTTCCACAATAGATGTAGGGTACCTGGGTTTAGTAAAGGGTATTGTGAAATTGAGTATATTCACAAGTGATATGAAATTAAAATCTGGATTAAAATCTTATAGAAAGGTATCATGATACCAGGTGACTGGCTGTACCAAATAATAGTGGAATTCAGTTTTTCTGACTACACTTTAAAGTACATGGATAAAAAATTCCTAATGTTTAATATGTTGATTGCTGCCATTATTTAGGAAAGAAATGCGGAAACCACCGTAAAAACACTGTAGTCCAAACACTGTTTCCTGTTAGCAGCAATGAAAAACAAAAGCAGTATTATGAATAATAAGGGAAAAGCTGGGTAACAGACAAAAAGCACATTCTGACTACATTATGTCAAAAATTAAGTGCCCATTCCCCTCACATTGTATAGACTGCCATATGAGTAGGAATTAGGTAAGTTTTGTGACTAAGCATCAGCAAAAAGGACAGTTGGGGAAAGAAAAGAGTTTTAGAAGGACAGCTAAAAGAAAGAGCTTGGGTTTGGCTGCCGAAAATTTAAAGAATCTCTAAATTTAGGAATGAAAAGAGCTAACTGCTAACTGGGAATTAGACTCCCAAGTATTTAATGTTCCAGATACGATGACAGTTTACAGCTACAGCTGATGCTTCTCATGAATGACAGCAGCTGGTTTGCAAGGGAGGGAAAGGGAATATTTTGTCAGTCAGGATTGTCATTGAAGTGAATATTTGCCTTTCTCAGAGGTTAAATGCCTACAGAAACACACTGCTACATGTGCTGTACAGATTCAACTATGTAGGTATTTCTTCCAGTGCCATTTCAATATAACTTCCATACCACTAATAACTCTTACATGGCATTTCTCAGACACGCATAATGCAGATACATAAGCTTCTAGGCTGCCTATAGATGCATAAGGATCAAACAACAGTCAATTAACTGTTTCCTTATTTTATATTTTTCCTATTTTATTGTCATTAAATCTTTCAGGGTACACCTCAGAACTAAGCAAATAATTCAGGAAGCTAGTTCAATTTCCAGCTATATGATATACATCATATAGGTAGGAACTATGCTTCATGAAAACGGAAGATAATATTTCTAGCTTACATAAGTAAAAGTGAAGTAAATATGCTAGATCTGAAAGCATGATTTAACTAAAATTAGAGGGAACCTTTTTAAAATTTGCTCTGGTCTTATTTTTAGTGATAAGACTACAGGCTCTTATTATATGCAGGATATTTTGTCCTAAAGGTTCGTATCTTGAAGAATCAGATTGAATACATTGATGAGTAAATCTTATGACTCCCTTGGAACAGAGAAGGTAACAAACCCCATTGAATGACTACATAGTGAATTACTGCTGAATAGTGAATTTCTATATGACTGTTGTTGGATGGGTACAGCATAAGGTTTTGTGAATGGCCTGAGCTGTCTTTATTTTAAGGCCTTGTATATTTTGGGATTACTCTTGTTACCTATCCTCATATCTTGAACTAACAAGGCAGAGGCATTTCAGGGATATATGGTATGGCTGCATTATTATTACAGTAAAAGAATGTAATGATTCTTAGAAATTACAGGGAGAACTTATATATAATTCATTTAATTTAAAAAGAGCTAGTTAAGGACAATTCCTGTGGCAGATGAAATTCATAGGCAGTTCTGGTTGAAGGGTGTTATCAGGAGCAAAAGTGGGAAGAGGGTGCTCACAGTTGCCTCAGAATTCTTTGATATCTCCCTATGTACATGTCGGTCCACCTTCCTTGGGTTTACAGTCACAATTCACAGGAAGATATTTGAAGTAGCTTTGTTCTTTTTTAATATTTTTCTGATGACAAGGCAGGACTATTTGGTGATTTTAGAATAAAAAACTGAAAATGGGAAGAATCTGTGACTCAATTCTTACATGACAGCCGAGCGCCACTTAATGTAAGCATATCTGTGAGTAACAGTGGCAATCTTCTCTTTATTGCTTTCCTAGAATATGAAGCTTTGTTCCACATCCCCAATATATATCACCAATATTACATCTTTCAATATATTAACTATTCTATTTAAAGGGTCTAAAAGTTTATTGTGAATAGAATCACCATTAGTCCCATCTGCCCATTGAGAAAGAAATGCATTTTACCTATCTTGAGGTCTTAATTGCATTTTCCCTGATGCATTTAATGTGATTGTCATGACTTTGAACAAAATGTCTTTGTGGAAGGACAGGCTTTTTTCATAAGCTGTTACTTCCTTGTTTTGTTGATCCTTTTTTGCTGCAATAGGGATGAAGAATAATATCTCCTTATCCTGGAATACAATATGGGGTATCACATGATCTCTAGGTATAAATCCATTTTTACACACAAATGTATGTATTGGGAGAGATGGAATAGCTGACATTCAGGTGCTTAAAATAATATTCAAGAGTTAGGAGAAAGAAAAATGTTTAAGTCAACAAATTGCCCTAAAATGCATATTACATTGATTAACTTCATAGATACTATTAACTTCATTGAAAAAAAAAATCTTTTGGATACTGTCCACAGGACATTTGATAGAGATGTTTATCTCAATGAAGTAATCTAGATTACTCTGTATTAGTTAGCAATGATTTTCAATGAAGTCTGTATCCTTCTGTTAAACAGTTACTCAGGATCCACCTTTGCTGAATGTTGAGATTCTGAAATAAAGTTAATTATTCTGTCTAATGAGTGCTGCAAAGGCCTTACACAAACCTGCATGAAAGTCTTGTAAGTGTGGCTGGGATTTTATTTGTTTATTTAATTATCCCAGGGCATATATATATATATATATATATATATATATATATATATAATTTTATTTTTTTTTAAGGGGCACAACATCTGGACATAGGTAGCAGACAGACTGCCTGTTGCCCTGATCCAGCTGCTTTCTTCTGGCTCAGCCTGAAAACTCAGGAGAGTGCACAAGTAGGGATTAATGAGCTGTTTTCAGGGAAAGCAGATGCTCCAGGGAAGGTAAGTGACTTGGTAAGCAACAACACCATAGTGTAAGTACAAATTTACACTGGCAGTAGAAATAGAATGCAAAGTTTCTAGACAATGTTAAAATGATTATATAAAAGCAAACCTTTATTTGAAAGCCTTCAGGTACAAAATATGGCAAAAACCGCACCTCAAATTAGATTGGTACAATTTTATAAGATTGGGAAATTAGAATATTTAATATTGTCCAATAAAAGAAGCAGTTGGTTAAGTAATTTCCCCTCTGGGTTCTGGCCTCTTGGAGCTCTTCACCCAATCTCCTACCTTACCTTTATTATGTCTATGACTATATGGTGGAAAATAAAAAGTTCTTGGTGAAATAACAGGCAAGATTAAAGTAAATTTTAGACATGCATCAATATGTGTCTTTTCACTGTGGGAAAGAAAGCTGGAAAGGCACTAGAAGTTATACTATAAATGTATACTTAACAGTGTACAAAGCTACAAATACATGAAGAATACATTAAAGCTAAAAACTTAAGGCACCACTGAGACACTTGCAAAAAAGTGTAGAGAGTGGAGCAACTTTATCACAGATAGATCTAAAAAGGAAGACCTCTTATCTGAGGGCACACTGAGATTAAATTTTAAATACTGTTATTTTGCACTTCAATGAAGATGTGTAATTATACTTACTTTGAGCTCCTTAATTTAGAGGGATTTTGGTGTCAAAGTCTTTAATTAAACTTATTTCATGGAATCCTGAGAGTAGCTAAAAAGCAAGAGTTCTTTAGGTTCATCATAACTAGAATCTTCTGAATGACCCTTCAAACAACTGAGAACAGATTCATTTGAAGCTGAAGTGTGGTTCTAATCTGATGCTAATTCTGAAAATTTCAGATTTTTTTTTTATATAAATCAATTTTTTTTGCAAATTTGTGATTTTTTTTTCAGATAAAAATTTTCTCCTCAGTGAATGATACTGAATTTGAGGTTTAGTTTCAGTCTGCACTAGTATAGTTGTAATGGCATAAATAAAATCTATTAAGGTAGAATTTTGGAACTACTTGTCTGTACTTACCTGTCTTAAGGGGAAGCAAAATTACATTTCACAAAAATGTGTGCATAACCTTGAACAGAAAAAATGTATTACGATTTTTGTTTGTGTATAAAGAAATGTATTTAGGTGGCCTGAAGTAGTAAATTCAAAATTAAATCTGATTTTTAGAAATGTAGTACAAATATGGAACCTTGTAAATCAAGACTCTTTATGTTACAGATCTGAGTACATTGCACAAAAATTATGCAAGCAAGAAACTGAGAGCTATTTTTTGTCATTTTAATATATAAAAAACCAAATACAGGTTTTGATGTAAAAGCTGTTAACTCTTTTCTGTTAGTCTTTTTTCTTGTTCTTTGTTAACTCAGCTAGTTAACTCTTTCAAAATGTTTTGCTAACAGCATAAACTACAAAATAATAACTAACAACTGTACCTTTTTTTCTCAAGTTAATACATATATAAGATGACTTTCAGTATAGGCTCAGTTTTTGTTTTTTTTTCTTCTAGCCATATGTTTACTTCATATAATTAAGAAAAGCAGAGGTAAAGATTACAGACATAATTTGTATGAGTGGATGAAAGAATATCTTTAACCTAAAGTCAGTCCAAGAAAATTAGCTGCTTGACATCTAGTTAGAAGGGCTGATCAAACAGTGCAGGAAAGGTAATATTTGTCCAAATGCAAATGACATTTGCTTCTCTAAATTTTGATTAATCAATGTGGTCATAAGGATGTATTCTTGATCTCCAAATTCCCTGCTGAATAACTATTCATATATAATTGTGCCAATATCCAATGACAATTTGGAGTTTATGGAGATTTTACAAGCGCCAAGGGCTTTCTGGGAGACAATAAATGTATGAAAAAAAGGTAGTCTCTCTTTAGTGATGAGGAAGTAATTGGAAAGACAAGATTGTTAATGAACTTCTAAAGTGTAGAATAAAATTAAGAAAATAGCAGAATATTCAAAGATTGAAATGACAAAATTGAAAAGTATAATCCAAAGCAAAAATGGCCAAATCTTCAGGTATTTTGTCAATCTCTGATTTTGCGTATATTTTGTGAAGATCTCTTCTTAGTGGATCACAAAACAGTAGATTATATTTGTGTGAAGTATAATAGTTTATTTTTATTTGCTGATGTATTTAATTGGAAATTAATGTCCAGTTCCTTGCCTATTGCTTCACTATCAGTGATTTTCATTTTTTAAAGAGGAAAAAAGAAAATTCTTACTTCTTTCTAAATCTTCCAAACTGGGTAGTATATATATATATATATATAACTAGTAAATGTAATAATGTATTTATTTCTACATCTATTATAAACCCTTAAGTATATCTTCTTTGACAGGGTGCACACCTCACCCATAAAATCCAAGCTGTTACTTTATTTGAAATGCATACCCCCCTACTGCTTTCACATGGGCATAAAATAAAGCCCATCCCTGCTATAGTTGTAGCAACAAAAGGGAATAGGGGTAATGGAAGTTTCAGTACTCAGCCCATGTCTGACTCTTCGTTCCTCAATGTTCCCTGATCTACTTTTGCCCCTTGCCTTCCTAATTTGATATTATAAATAAATTATATCTAACTCCAGCAATTCTTTTGCTTATTCTCATTCAACATACTATGCAAAATCTATTCTTTTGTTTGCTATTGGTTCAGTAAGAAAAATGGGTGATCTTTGGACAGTTAGAGTATAACAGCCATAGAGATTTCATTTACTGTGGATACTCCAATCCCTTAATGTTGTGAACATCCATACCCAGAAATTCACATACCCCAATACCTTAATTTTGCAGAGACCAACATACTATTAATATTTGGGTTCTTAAAATTATTTGTGTGACAGAAGGAAGCTGTGAACTGTGGTCAAAGTGATCACTGCCTTGGGCATCTTTCATATTACCCCTGCCTTCAGATTTCACCATGTCTTTCTTTTCATGGCTGGGCTTGAGTGCACTCAGCTATAAAGAAACATGAAGGTTCAAAAGATACAGAAACAAACCTTAGACTGGAGAGTTCACGCATGCACAATGTATGTAAACATACAACAGTATCCAGTATTGCTGCATCTGGAAGAACAAGGGTTACTTCAGCAAGACTGAATTTTTTTATTCTATCATTAGCAACAATTCCTTCTGATCATAGCAGTCTGCTATGATCAGTTTTTTTCATTTGTTTGTTTGTTTTTGGTTTTTAAGATTGTTATGTATTTCTATGCTTTGAGATATTCCACAAAAAGTAGATTTGATGAAGTTCTCAGTATCTCTTTCCCAAACCCAAATTTGTTATTGCAAACTTACCTCAGTTTGATTTACTAGTGTGATTTATTTATTGGTTTTGTGTCGGTGGCATCTATAATTTACAGTCATTCTGCAGGCTGGAAGATCTCATGACAATATTACATCGAAGTCAGTTTGAATTAATTCATTAGTTAAAGAATCTATCGTAATTTGATTTCTTTTCAACAGTTGTCAGTGATAGTGTCTGATGCCAGCTAATCTTGATTATTAAAAACAACAATAAAAACAAAAGCTAGTGGCTAGTTCAGTAGAATTGCATTGCTTAAGGCTTGCAGCTGATCTTACAGCTAATAATACGAGTGTGTTGCAATTAGTTCTGATAGATGTTCAGATTGCATTTCCATGATAAGGGGAAAGAAAAAAAAGAAACAGAAATTTGACTTTATAGGCTATTACTCATTATTCAGGCAATGGCAATAGTTCCTTTAAATTAAGTAGTCAGGTTCTGCATTGGGATTTATAAAATATGATCTTTGATTATATATGGACAAATCAAACATGCTGAAACCTCAAGACTGTAATGTCAGGAATAAATCCCAAGACATATAGAAAAAGTATGGTTTTGATTTAGCAAAACAAACTATTCAAATCCCAAAGCCTATGTCTTTGAATATTTTTGGTGTTTAAGATTCTGATTAGCCTTACATTTTCCTTTGCCAATTAGTATTTTCCTTTGTTTCAGAGAAGCCTGTTCTTCTTCTCTTCCCTTTGTGACATTGTTTTCTCCAATCAAAGAGTTCAGATGTTTAATTATTCAAGGACATTTTCTCCAGACAGATATGGAATTGCAAGTTTTCTGCAATAATATACATGCAGGGCTGACTTCTGCTCATGATAAATTAGCGTAATTTTGAAATGGCTTAATAAGAATAAATTATATTCAGAAAGTAAGCAGTAGAATTTTTAGAGTATTACTCCCTTTACCACAACCTATCAACATTGAAAACAAAGCAAAAAGCATGAATAACTTTACTGAGAGAGATTTTTGTTTATCCAACAACAATTTTCATGTGGTATAAATATTGCACTTTCGCTGTTTGTACAATTACATGCTAGCATTATCTTGGATGCAGAATCACTATCCACAGCTTACTTTCTCTAATGAAAAGTCCTGGCAACTGAACTGGCTCATCTGCATTTTTTATGACTATGCAAACTGTCATAACTTAAAATAAAACCAAAATAATGCAAATAATGCCAGGAAACCAAAAGATTTTATATTTAGAAATACTTAAGTCTAGCTCTAAGCTGAAGAAAATTCAATTCAAATGCTATCACCATTTATATAACAAATAATTTTTGCTTTTAAGACATTTATGCTGCACCATCTATTTTTTTCTGCATGGTATGCAGATTGCACAGAGGTTTCAGATATTCAACAGACCAGCTCCTGCACACTCTCTGTTTAAACCTTCCCAAGTTTAACAACAACTGAGGATCCATTTTGCTTGATCAGGCTCTCAAGGTAAATGGTAGGATTTATTTTCTACTGATCTACATTTTATGCTTTTCTTATCTCTATTTGTCCATGCTGAATTTGGAAATTATTCTGAAGTTCATTCTAAAATTCACTTCATTTTTAGGAATAGGTTCATAATCATATAGTTTAGCTTACATGAAAATGACAAGTTGAATGAAGTGCTTTGGCTAATATTGCCAGATTTTTCTGCCTAAGTTATTTCACCTGCATTCATGGACTCCACATTTTTTCTAACACAGAGAGGAGGACCACCAGATTTTCTGTTTAAGTTAAAACTTTTTCTCTTGAAATAATAAACTGAGAATAATATAAACAAAAGAAAACTGACCACAGTAAGCCACCCCTGATTTACTGAGGTGTGGAACATAGTTACCAAGGGAAACTCTTATCTTACAATATCTCACGTACCTTTCAGGAATGGCCAGGTTTGAGTAAAGTTTTCTTTGTTTAAAGTTGATGTCATGTAAAATTAGAATGGTCTGAAAATAAATTGCACTTTGTAAGCAGTATCAGTCTTCCCATAACAGGATGAGTACTTTTAATTCACCATTGTGAGAGAAATTCCTAGATATCTTTTCATATTACTGAAAATCTGGATCTTATAACAATTTTTTCCAATCTTTTTTTCTTTTCCCTAGATTGCCATTTATGTTACAAAACATATATATCATTCTATATGAATACATGTGCAGGCCTCCCTGCCCTCAGATTACCCATATATTTAATTTTGATGACATTCTCTTTGCATAAAATAGCTACTGGGATGGTGTGAGAATGGCATGGTTTAGATCTGGGAAGTATGTCTATTTACCACAAGAAAAACAAATACGTGAAACAGTAGTAAAAATTCTAAAGTTTTCATGCTGTATTTCCAGTTACTGATTACCATTTACCCATGGTGTTTGTTTCCCAAAGGTGCCCAAGTTACTTCCAGCAGCCTGAGAAGGTGCTGGTATGTAATGATAAAAATACTACACCTGAGCAGACATTCCTTTTCCTTTTGGAATAACCAAAAGACCAGATGGCTTGGCTTACAAGACTGACTCAGGCAGCAGTAGCTGCAATAGATCTTCAGGTGTGACACATTTTGACACTGTGATAACCTGATATTTGAAATCTTGCTATGGTATTCAGAAATGTTTAATAAAGTAATTCAAGTGTATCATTGGACAGGTCTCTTTTGGCCTCATTTTTCTTCTCTTCATTCAAGCTAATTTTATCTTGTTTGTTCTCCACCACCACGTTTTTGGTTTCTTTTTGTATACCAGGACTGAAAAATCAGATGCAAAACTTGACATAGGAAAGATACCAATGAAACATTTTACTACACTGGATTTCAAAAAGAAAGTGAAAATGTGAAGAATGATTCCATTAAATTTATTTTTCTTGCACTAATAATATCAAGTAAGCAGGATAAACACAGCTTCCAAACATTATTTGAAAGAAGAAAATTAATGATTACAGTATAACAAGAGAATGCATGGTCTTACTGCTCTTGGGGTTTTTTTCCAATTACAGAATGCTTAGGTTTTTCAAGAATAAAAAAAATTAAGTGTGCTTGTCTTGGCACATAGGAAACATAAGGCAAATAATGTGGCAAATATTAATAGAAAAATTCTGAAGACTACATTTTATCATTGTGTGCACCAGCACCAGTGATCATTTCTCTGGACGACAGTTTGACTCATTGGCAGGAGGACAACTCCTGATTATTTTCCTTTCCCTCCCACCTTGAAAACAAGTGATTAATTTTGGAATTTCATATCTGGGCTTACTACAACTGATACATTTTAGAATGTTTATGTGGGTTAGATTTAGAGAGCTCAGTATCTATCTTGATCACTACAGCTATATCTTCATTTTAGGTCCTTGGAAACTCCTCACTAACCACTTCTTTTAGTAGTACCAGTTGTTGCCTTTTTCCCAACCTGGAAGTGCAACTTGAGATAATTTTAGCAAGGAGGTAATATAAAAGAGGATCTTTAATGAAAGCCTTCAGGGGCAGTCTGGAAAGATGTTCACAAAAGCCCACCCCTACAGAGATGAGTACACATTTATAGGTTTTAGGAAATCAGCATAATTGATAAAAAGCACCAATTAGAAGGACAAGTGGTGATGCAATTCTCCCCCAGGTCAAACCCCTTCTCTGAAGTCCCCCCCTCAACACTAGCTGTACCTTGTCCATAAGAATGTATCTCAAAGGGTTGCTCTCAACCTTGGTTCCCAGGAAGAACCAAGATAGCACAGGGGCCTTGTACCCACCCAGGGGTCAGGTTTCTGGAATTTGTTTTGTCTTTCTGCCTAGGGAAAGGCCATGGAAAATTACTGGAAAACTTAGCTACTAATACAGTAGGGTACAGAACTACAAATAAATGTTTGAAAAATATAGAAAACATATAAAATGGGGAAAAAAAAAGGCAAAACCCAAACCAGCATCACAGTCATTGCCTATCTGTAAAGACTGATAATGCTCCTTAGTTCTGGTTGGTAAAATACTGTTAGTTAGAGCCATCTTTACCACTTAATTCTATTTTTTCTGCTAAAATAACTTTTCCTCTCCCATAACCAATGTGACTGTACATTACCCACTTGAAGCTGTAGCAGTTCCAGTGTACAATTACGTTCTTCAAAATAACCCTGATCATGTATGTCAGTGTTTATCTTTTTAAGTTCTTTTGTTTGTTTCTTTGTTTTTCTTTCTTGCATGTAACCTTCTAAAACTGTAGCTTGGAGTTTTTTGTATGACAGAAAGAAAACTTCTACTTGGTTTAATATTCTCTCTAATGTGTGATTTCCAATCTTCAATAACTAATCAATAGTTTTATCACAACACATTTCCTTAAGTCTCTCAAAGGTGAGAACAAAGTAAAGTTTTGGAAAGTTTTGTTTTGGTTATTGGAGAGGAGAAGACTTTGAGGTATTTAAAATACTAAATAAATTGTTACTTATGTTTGGTCCATTGCTTTCAGGAAGTTTTTTTGTGTTGCACTTTATGTATTCCTTCATGTGCCCCTGGTTCTATAAAGACACTAATTAGTTGAAATATATGTCTAGCTGTAAATCTCTTGCCATGGTTGGGGTGGGGAGAAAAGCCAATGAAAAGCATACTGTCTCAATGGACTAGCAGTTTGACTATTAAATCTACTGACTCACATAATTGTACAGCTATGAAGAGACTCCATTATCTCAAATTTCCATGGAGATATTGACCTGATTGTCATCTTGAACAGCAATTGCAACTCCTACATAACAGTAAAAAAAAATTTAGTAATACACTGTTTAAATAAGGAAAGGGGAAATAAAGCTTTCATGACAGAGTAGATTAAAATTTCCTAGTATGCAGCTAGAATTGTATATGTGCAACCTGATATAAATGCATAATATGGAACAGAAATGAGTACTAGTATAATTGTTTGAAGTTTTGAGATCTCCTCTGACCTACATGTAGCTCAATCAAGTATTGTGTGTGGAGTAATTATCATGTCAGAGTCATTAAATCTTCAAATTAAGGCTTTTGCTTCTTTGAACAGAAGAATGAAATCTTTCAACTGGTGAATTCATTAAGTGACAGTTACCTCCACATGTCTTTCTTAGAGGGTATCTTTTACTTGAGGAAACTAAAGCTTATAAAGTATATGGATGTCCTCAGGTGACTTTATCATCCTGGTATCCCTCCCAAATCTGTCCCTGATTTAAAGGAAGACAAGGCCCTGGGGTGATTTTACTGTGGTCTTCCAGTACCTGAAGAAAGCCATCAAGACAGAGAGACAAGGGCATGTAGTGACAGGACAGTCACAAAGGGGAATGACTTCACACTGAAGGAGAGTAGGATTAGATTAGATATTTGGATAAAATTCTTTACTGTGAGGGTGGTAAGTCACTGCAATAGCTTGTCCAGAGAAGCTGTGGATGCTCATGCCTGGGTGTGTTTAAGGATAAGTTGGATGGGGTTTTGGCCAATCTTATCTAATGGAAGGTCCCTGCTCACAGCAGGGTTGCTGGAACTAGATTTATGTTGGAACTAGAACTTTAAGGTCCCTTACACACCCAACGATTCTATGATTCTATGGTTCTATGAAAAGAAATTAAGACATACAAAGAAAACCTACTGAATCAGAAAAAAAATGTGATGAACAGTTGAAGATAGGTAGTATTGAACATAGAACAGTAAGAAAAGCTGATTAAGGATGTTTTAAATGAATGATTGGTGAACTGAGGTCCCAGAAGTAGAATGTGGACAACATTATGATAAGATTTTTTAAGACTGCATGGCAAGGTCGTCACACTGATTTAAGCAGTATGTGAATTTGCTCTCTACATTCCATCCTCTGAGACTCTTGTGGAAGACTAAGACCTTCCCACCAGTAATAATAGCTGTTTTCTTACATTCTGCATTTTGATTTTCTGTTGTTTTCCCCCATTGCTTTCTTTTTCTTCAAGTTTCATAGCCTTTGGATTGCCAATGTTGCTGAATAAGGAAAAAAAATAATTGCTTTAATATCTGACAGTTTCACTTTAGGCAAATGTAGAAGAATTTGAATAGGAGAAAACCAATGGTGTTATCTATAACAAAAAGCTTTTCTGAAATCTTTAATCCCCTTATGAAAGTTACTGTATTCTTGAATCTTCAATTTTGGTATGCTTGTTAAGTCTATGATTATGGGAATATATCCATGAAAAATTCACTTAAGGATTGTCTAGGGTGAAATATATCTACTGCATTAAATAGTCTGCATCATACTGCAATAATTGCAATGCCCTCATTTTATCTGAACTTTTTTTCCAATCTGATTATAATTGACACAGAAAGTTGACCAGTTTGCAGAGACTATGCATTATAATACATGAAATGATGTAAGTAATCTTAAATTTTACATAGCTTATCCCTACTGTCAGCTTTCCTTGTACCTCCATTCTTCAGTGTTCTGATCACCAGTCAGCAAATTTGATCAAGAAGTTTAAATGGAATTCTGAACTACAATGCTTAAGAAAACCTTAAACAGTATGTCTATCCAGAGGAAAAATCTACTTGAATCATATGTCTATGGAATCCTGTCATTGATTTAGTTATGCAGCTTTCCCCAGAGAAGTTGATTTGTGCACTTGACTGCTTTATACATCAAATACTGCATTTTAGAAATGTTCTACATAAAACATTTTATTGAATTTTTAGCTTGCAAAAAGCACTGTTTCCAGTATCATTATTATTATTATTATTGTTGTTATTATTATTATATTATGCGAGTAGCCCAGATTTTATAATTGTCTAGGTCTCCTTCAAAAAAGCAAAGCCAACCAAACAAAAAATCCCCAAACAAAGAAAATAACCCCAACAGAACCCTCCCAGTTTCAAAAACCCCACTTTTAAACTAGCAAGAAGACACTGAACACGGTATACAGTGATCTTGAAAGTGTAAAGATGAGGTGCTGCATCCGAATTGAAAGATGCAGGCTTCACATTTTGTTTTGAAGATAGACTAGGTTAGGGCTGCTCTTTGTGCTGGGTTCTGAATTTTTAGCCTAATTCTCATGAAAACTCTATTTTCCCCAGATGACAGAAAATGTTTGCCCTTACATTCTGGTTTTCAATGGAGCAAAGAAATTGCAGGAGAGAGAGCAAGGATCTTTAAAACAGTCAAGATTCAAAGCATGTAGTGCTTTGAAAATCAATACAGCAACCTTGAACATGGGATCTTTGTGTGAAGAGCTAGTGCAAACAGTTCAGTAGGGAAGAGAAAATGCTAGATAATGATTTCTAAACCAGACATACCCTACCTTCCTTTATAAAACGGGATATTTGGATAAACTACACGAAAAATGCTCTCAAGCAAATGGAAAAGAAGCATGATTAAAGCACAGAAACAGGAGAGTTGTCATGAAGAAAAGAAGGAAATTGACCGGTGAACAAGATGAAGAGTTGGGATGAGGCTCCTTTGTCTATGCACGTGTAATACTGCTACTTGATCAGAGAGCTAAAATAGTAAAAAGATAAGATAAACCCACATTAAAAATAGCATATTTATACTAGAAGAAAACAGTCTTTCCTTCACCTTGTCATTCTTGCTTCCTGTGCAAAGAGAATGCAAACATTTTGATCATTGTTGCACTATGCAATAAGACAGGGACCTACCATGCAAACCACATATCAATTC